AAAATAAATATGAGAGGTGCCCTTTTTTCCACTTGAGCCCCTGCCCCTCAAAATGTCTGTGCACGTCCCTGCTCCAACTCGTAATACGAACTTCAAGGACTTGAATGCACCATTTTCTTTGCTTAAGCACAAAATTCGTATCGTTTGCATATCTGGTTTACCGTTTGAACCGGTATATCGCCCAGCAGTAGGCCTAATATTACTACAATTTAAAGTAACTTTTCTATTTTAATGTATTTTAAAACTTTTTCTTATTTAATTTTAGCAGCAATTACTCCAGTCTTCAGTGTCACATGATCCTTTAGAAATCATTCTGATATGCTGATATTTTATGCTTAAACCTTTATTATTGTCAGTATTGAAAAGTTGTGCTGCTTAATATTTTCTTTTTTCATTCTTTGAATTGAAAGTTCAAAAGAACAGCATTTATTTTAAATAGAAATAGTTTGTCACATGTCTTTACTGTCACTTTTAATCAATTTAATGCATCCTTGTTGAATAATTTTTTTTTTTTTTTTAAATCTTACCAACCTCCAGCCTTTGAACGGAAGTGTGTGTGTATATAAGCAATAAACCTGTGTGTTTAAATTGGTTTTAAAATATCTAGCAAGAAGCATCACATAAGACTTTCACAATCTGAACGAGAGAATCCTAAACTATTCTTGTAGTCCAAGAAGAAGGAGGGGAAAACTCACCAATTTGCAGTGTGCTGTACTGATGTATCTGCCATATAGTTGCAGATATTTCTCTGCAGTGTCCGCATATTTAATGCCCAGAAACCACCAGAGCTACACTGTTTTTCCTTTCTTTGCTTTAATAAATGTCACAGCACTGCAACACAGGTGGTGGATTCAATTCCTCAAAAAAAACAAAAACTGTCTGTTTCCATTTGGAGGCCACAATATCGTGTTCATGAGCACTTCTCCATGACGACCTGAATTAAACTTGTCAATAAGGTTTTGAAATGGGACCACTAGTCAACACACAGATTTTGAGATATGCCTAACAGCAGAGCTCCACAGATTTATGTAAAGCCAGCGGTAGGTTTTAAACATTCAAGAAGTCCTTACGATAAATAAGCTTACAATTTTTTTTTTTTTTAAATAGATCAGCTTTTGATATCTGAATTTACTCATAGCATCTAAAACTAGTCAAGATTACTTTTTGAGACATATTTAATAAACAAACTAGTATAGATTTCTATTTGTTCTAAGCAAAAAGTTTGAGAATATGCACAGCATGATCTTCATAACCAAAATATTCCAGTACTTCTGTACCAGTAACATTAAAAGGCTTCCAACAGCCTATTTTGTAATGTCTGACCAGGCTGATCTTAAAAGTTCGGAAAGATGTCACCTCTAATTTGATTAATGCAGGATGTAGAAACACCATTGCAGCTGCATTAATCAACTGGCCCTCCTAATGAGTTAGTCTCAAGACTCATAATAGGAACAATACTGAGCATTTATGTAAGGTGGGTTATGTAAGATTGCTGACATCTGCCAAACGGAGCACAACTGACTACCTCCATCTCACATCTGTAAATTTCTGCACAGGCCTATAATTATCCTTGCTGCAGATTATGAAAAACTCACCCACACAAAAAATGTTTATCTAATTTTCTATTAACCCTGAAAACTGTTCACCAGCACTTGTGATATCGAAGCAGTCCATTAAAAAACGTCCTGTGTGATTACCAAATCGTCATCCGTATGGATTTTTTGTTGCTTTGTGGATTTCAGAATGAGAGGGATCTTACACATCTGCTGCCAAGGTTTCTTCTTGTCATAGTGGTGGTGGGATTGACGTATGCTGGTTTCAGAGCTCAGTGAAATATTCCTTCTGTACTTTGGCTTCTTTGCTGCCTAAGGGCCTCTGAATGTCTCATGTCGCTTTAAGGTCTTGTGGATTTGTTCAATAATTCAGACGTTTTGCAAGGATGCAGGCAGCAATTTCCCAGAAGGGACTCTAAGAATACTGTGAGGATTTGAGTGTTACACCATCTAGAGCCCTAAAAACCAAGCATGTTAACCACATAATAATAATAATAATAATAATGTGTATGTAAATTAATTTTTATAATGTTTTATTTATAGTAACTATTAATAATAGTTTATTATTATTATTTTGTTTAAATGTATATTTAAATATATATTTAATAATTTCTTAATAGTCATTTTTATGCTTTATTACATATTTTATTCATTATTTATACATGTATATTTAAATTTAATAGTTTCGTAATTATTTATTAATACTTGATGAATAATTGTAATACTTTTGTTTATAATTGTTAATAATAGTAATACATCATTTTAATAAATGTATATTTACATTTATATTTAATAATTTCTAATTTACATTTTATTACTACTCCTATTTTATTTATTACTTTAATTGTAGTTGTCGTTTATTTATCCATTATTATTATTATTATTATTATTCCGTGATGTTTGAATTCAGCCATAGCATTACGGGTTTTGTACAATTCTGACATTTCCTTTAAATATGTTTGATTAATTTTTGACATTTTTAGTGTGTACAGGAAAGAATGTTCTTAATGTTAAATAGGATGAAGTGGGTGAGGAGTGGGGGTGTTTTTTTTTAAATAGATATTTATGGGTCCTTTAGTGGCAAAACAGATTGTTTTCACTGGGAAAAGACCAGGGGTGTACAATATTTGTTGGCTTGTATGTAAATGACGATTCATCGCCGTCTGCTCAGTAGCGTGGAAAACTGAAGGTCTTTAGGGAATTTGTCCATGGAGCACTGATGTGTCTGCTCTGCATCCTGGGTTACATAAGTCCCTTTTACTTCTGGTCACTGCACCGTATCCGAGTCCCTCTGCTGCTTTCCCTTAAACTGAAGCATTACATTAGTCTTCAGGACAGAGCGTGACTTGAATAGAGTTTAACATGTTTTGTCACATATCATAATAAATGCAGATCATTGTATGATGTCTACTTTATATTCCTTTTTTTTAACCATCAGTGTCTATTGAAATCTGAATAGTAATCATGTAGTTGTTTTTTGTATGCAGTGTTTTTCCCCTTTGCAATAGCTGAGCAGTTTTGTAAATTGTAAATGCCAATAGATTTGCTGTCATTTTGCTCTCCATCTCACTCCGGTGGACCTTGACATTGGGATGAGAAGGAAAGTAATTTCCAGCAGTCTCACCTGTGACACATTATCAAAGACACGTACAAAAGACTGCTATAGCAATGACCCAGCATCTGCCAAGGGCACACCTGCTTGTTTCACACTCTGACGTCACGGCCTATTTCTGGAGCGAGACGCTGCATGACCTCCTGCATTCTGGAAACAAATTATAACGGAAGTCTGGAACTTGTTCTATTACCGGAGCTTTCAAATGTGTATTTCATAAAAAAGTTTATAGATAAAATTGGGTGTAAAAACGATAATCAAATAGGGTGTACAGTTGTAATTAAGAAATTGCTAGCAAATTTCACAGTTGCAAAGAACGTAGGCTAATGCCGAGTTCACACTGCACGATTTTAGCCCGATTTTTCACTCACCGACAGGTTTTGTGAAATCGCCGACAAATGCCCGAAATCAGAGGCAAATCGGTGCTCGTTCACGCGAGTGACAATCACGCAGTGTGAATTATCAAACACGTGATCTGAGGGAATCGCCGACAGGTCGCCGACGCCCGTGAAATATTTGGCATGCTAAATATCTGGAGCTGTCGCCGATTCACAATCACACTGTGTGAAATTAGTTCTGACTGAAAAACACACCGGCGATGACCTACAGCCAATGAGAGACCAAGATACAGGGCAGCGGGAAGTTCGGGGAGGAGTTATATGAAACGTAGTTTGCGATATGAAAGGACCAGTGTTGCCAAATCCGCGATTGCCGCCGGTTGTTTTTTGTCAGCAGGTTGAAGCAACCCCAATAACGTGATATTTTTACTGGGGGACCCCCTCGAAAGCAATTGGAATATTTTCAGGCTAGTTTTGAGTAGTAATTGGGTGGGTTTTGTAGCGAAAACCTGGCAACCCTGCACCAGACAGAGCTGTCGGCGATTCTTCCTATTGTAAAGTCATGCATCGTGCAGTGTGAACACAGCAACAACTGAATGCTACCCCAGAGAGTCGTGCAGTGTGAAACCAACAGTGATGCGACGTCTTTGAAAATCGTGCAGTGTGAACTCGGCATAAGTAACACACTGAATTAAATTTGAAGTTCAGTAACACTGAAATAATTTATCTATATAATCGTTGTTTTATTTACAACTTCAGAAAATTACTTTTTAAAGTGTTTCTACTGGGTGTCGATACAAGTCGAAGACGATCGCCACTTCAGCCAGCGAAACACAATATTACTGCAATACAACAAAAATATGCTATGTAAATAATCAATTAAAGGGGTTTAAAATCTTTAAAATGTTGTATTAATTACTCTTTGGTTATTTTTTCCTTTTGGATATTTATTCCTTTTCAGTTCACTGCACTGTTTGGCTGGAGCTGCATAGTTACTAAAAAGGCTTTTTTTAAAGCAGCACTATGTAACTTTTGGCGCTCTAGCGGTTAATAAACAGAACTGCACACATCCCGCGGAAGAAATCCTAAAACCGGAGCTACTTCTCTAAGTTTATGTCTATGGCGATTCACTCAGGTATGTGTTACTCCGCAGCGGTGACGACCCGACCAGGCTACAATAGTCCAAATATAAGTACTTATTATAAGTGTACCGTAGTGATTCGGAATAAGACAAAAACGCGGTTTGGAAGATGAATTCATTATGTACTCGCTCATTATATACATTTTGCAAATTTTGAACAGAAAAAGTTATAGTGCTGCTTTAAAGCACGCATTTCTGCTTGTAGCCAAGTTGAACCTTACCCACAAGGCTGTACAGTCGTTAAAAAGGGAAGACATTCTACAGGGACAGGGTGTTTTGCTGCACCTCAGTGTCGAAAATGTGTAGTACATTCATTCCTTTCTGCCAATATTCTGTCACAGACCTGCTCTAGCTGAATGGCGCCACCACGAGCATCACCGTATAACAACGGACTGGTTTTTGCACATGTAAGAAAATGAACACACTGGTCCTTTTTTTACTTTTTTTTTCTCTAGCAGCAGTGTGCATACGAAACAAGTACAGTGGTTTAAAAAACACATAGCCTAAGTACCGTAAAATATTGTGATACTAGGCCTATACTCTTTAGTCAAAAGGAGACTGATGCGTAGTGCAATGCAAGCAACCATACTCCCAAAGATGAGTTTCAAGTAGCCTACTCCCTTTATTTTTGTTTGAGCTCCTGGGTATTGTGCAAAAACACTATCTGTGGAATTTGTGGAATCTCAGAGAGGCCTGTAAATAGCCAACAATCTTCGTCATTTGTCTCCAGGCTTCAGATCAATAGGTCTACCACTCAAGATCTTCCTAAATATATGATTTACATTGTAATTTTTACCTTCCAAATATAATTACAAGAACATTGAAATATGAAAGGTCCCTCCAGCAGGAGTGCGCATTAAAATTAACCACAAAAGTTAATTACACAAGCCAGAACGCACGTTTTCTGCTACCGCTAGCGAATAAAATCGCATAGGCTAGCTGGTAACCATAACAACAGTAGTTCGCTGGAGCGCTTTGAGTCAGGACTCCGGAACGTTGTCGGACGAAACAAAGGAAACACAAATAGTGCTATGTATTACTTTATTGTTATTTTACAAATCACATCGTGTTTAATCTTTAAAGGTAGTTCATGTTAAACGCCAAATATAGCCTGCACATTTAGGGCTACATCTCAACAAAAGCATCTGATAAACCTTTTTTTTTTTCTTTCTTTTTCTGATAAACACCTGTAACTGTTACCTGCAAAAAATGCAGTTTCACATGCATTCCAAATCATTAACGCCCTAAGAACGTTCTAAATGTCTCTTTAATGTCTGCCATGCAACCTTCTGAGATGAGAAAACGCCTCAATAAATAGCACCTAATTTTCCACATGAAACCCCGTATATCAAATAGGCGTCAGTTAAGGTTGCGCCCTGAATATTTCCTATCGAAATTCCTTTAAAGGTCGATTCCTTGCCTGCCTCCACCTTCTGGGTCAGAGGTCTACGTTATAAAGCAAAGCTGAGCTGGGGAGGAGTCTAGCTCCGTTACACAGGCGCGCGTTCGAACATCAGAAAATATTTACATGTACGTTACGTGTCAGTTCCACAACTATGACTACGTGCAGCTCACAGTGTAAGGAATAACACTTCTCGAACTCGTATAAGAAGATAAGCCGTTTCAATCACAATTTCACTAGTAATTCTATAGAATTTTTGTATAACACCGAGTCGTCAAAAGATTGCTTCTGGTTTGCCCCAGGGATTCATTAAAACCGGATTCTTTGGTGTTGAGCAGGATCGAGCTGGTAAGACTTTGACGCGCTTTGCATTTTTAAAAAGGTTGAATCAGCTATTATTTATGTTAACGTAAGATTTCTTGCATAACTACCACATGGCTCTTTATAAATGGTTTCTGCAAGTGAGATCTGTTG